TACATAAAGTGCCACTGTAGTTAAATTAAAATATCATAACATGAAATCCAAAATGTTCCCACACACCGGACTTATACCATAGACTTATACGACGCTGGCGCGTCCTCCAACTCCCTCATCTCTCCCACTTGCCATTTCTCCGCGTGCCGTGACCTGCAGCGCTCCATACTCCACTTTTACTGGCTTGTTTATTAACTTGAACCGGCGCTGCACAGAGCGATCGGTAATGACATCAAATACCACGAAAGTGATGAATGCATACGGAGCCGACTCGCGCTAGATTGATGTTATTCACCGATCGCTCTGTGCAGTGCCGGTCCAAGTCGAACAAGTTTATGTCGCGCCAAAAGAAAACACGTCACATACGGGCACGAGGTTACATTGCGCATGCGTCGAACCGTGAGACGCACACGCGCTCCGAACCGAGACAAGCGAACCGAACGGTTCGGGTGTTTTTTCATGTACCGTGCCACCCCTAGTATACATTAATTATAATTTACTACTATGAATAAACGAGTCACATGTTGGGCCTTAAATGTGTTGAACTACACAAATAATTGAGGAGAAATGAAAATACTCTCTAGTGCCAGAGAAAATGGGCAGAATTTGAGTAAACACATTTAGCATGTCTCTAAAAACTCATAGACCATGTGCTAATTGCTGCAATATGGAATCGAGAGGGCATGAAGAACCCAGATAGCATCTTTCGGTAATGTTCTTAGATGCAGTGCAATTAGAACGTTTTTACGCTGCATAATTTACTTAAACACCGCATAAGATGCCTTAGATTCCCTTGCCCTCTATCTTACTTTAGGAAGACCAGAGACTCTCTAAACCAAAATCAAACTGTTTAATGCTTTCATGGCCTGTCACCTTCCATCAAGACTGAGATATATAACCATGTGACTGATGTACACCCGGACTTGGAGAGTTTGAACAACACAAGTCAACGCTGACAAGCTCTGTTCACATCAGCAAACCCCATCAGACCAGAGTCTACTACAGCATAGTGTACATTTGCCCCCATATCAGACCACCAAGATCAAAATCATGCAAGAGTAAGTCTGAGATAGTCATGTGATACAAATCATGTTGTTTACAGATTTTCAGCTGCATCTCATGCATCACAATATCTCACAACAGACAAAGCCAGATCAAATGTAACAATGAATACTGGAGAAACAGAGTGATTTTATCACTGGAGGTCACCATAGCAGTCTTATTGACCGTTTTTGTAATACATTATTGATGGGCTGTATATAATTAGCCATAGCTTTTAAAAATCTTGTAAATGATAAAAATAAGATACCAATCTATTTTGGAATCAATCAATCATTTTTTTTTTTTTTTTTGCTGCAGTGTTTGTGTTTAGATTGCGATACACAATACAGTACATCACATCGTGAACAAGATTAATGAGTTTCACTCTACGAATCAAACTCACTCAGAATAGAACATCATTGGAATCATTTTGTATTATGCTATTATTGCTGTATGTGGGCTGAAACAAATTGCATAGAATGGTGAAACTGCGCACAGTAGCATTAACCTCTCCATCTTGCCTACACTTGACTACTACCTCACAGGAGACAGACGGACTTTGTTTCTATCAAAAGTTGCCATATTAAACCAATGCTCATTTGCATAAAGTTCAACTTAACTTTGTTGGACATGCCTACATTAAATGGATGATTTCGTGTTGCTTTAATGCTTCAGATCGTTGTCAGTGTGAATATACATGGAGTGAACAGGGTCGATGAGTGTCTGAAAAAACATATTGAGAAAATGGTTTAGAGCAGGTGCCCATGTGATGGAAAAAGAAGCCAGGATCTTATCATATCAGTGGGTAAATTTCACACTGAAGGTCGAACTGACAGAACGCATGGACATATTCACATTCTCATACACGTTGTGGCAGATATCTAAAGCACCAGCTCACAGCATGAACTCTAATGCTGTTGGTACAACCAACATGCACTGTTTATAAAGTAGTATTCTTCAAACTCTTCAAAAACATTTGTTCAAAGCATCAGGAGCTGAAAACAGTCAGTGTGAAGGAGTTCTCTAAAGGTGTCTGACAAAATGTCTTGTAATCTTTTTATCTTCAAGTTTAGAAAAATAGCAAAAGTAGCAATAACATTTTTTTTTTGCCCCGTAGGGCTGTTCCCGCCTCATCCAAACTCCCACTGAGATCTGAGTAAATTACGGAGGCAGACAAAGGCAGTGATTCTCATTCTAAAACCTACTTCCTATATGAAAAGCTGCTTTTTGCTCAAAAAACAGCGTGTAATAATAAGATTTTCGGAAAAGTGCTCTATGATTGTTGTCCCCCTTTTTTTTTTATCCCATCCCGACCCTTTGGCATCCATTGCTGAATGTCAGTGCAAATTGAGTCAAATTGAAATGTCAGAATGAAACTGAGTAGACGTGCAGAATGTTAGAGTAAAAGGTTGGAACACATTTAGCAAGCTTTGCTTTTACTTCGAATCTTTCAATATGTGTCATTTGCTTGGACATAAGGGACCATCCATAGGGAGCTTGTATTTAAAACCAAAAACTGGTTGGTTTTGACATTGGCTGTCATGAGGCCATTATAACTGTGTCAAGAATATTTTTCGTGACCTCAACTACAGTGGTACTTATTGAATTTGTCAATGTCAAAACCAACCAGCTGACAGTTTAATGTCATGTTAACCCATAAAGCTAAGTGGTTTCTTAAGTTTCATAATTAATCTCCTATGTCATGTTTATGACAGGTTGTGTTGTCTTAGTAATGCCAAGTCAAGACAAAGACACTGACAGATTATGATGTATTGGTTTATGTCAAGATGTCATAACAAAGACATCTCAAACAATGTCATAATTGCATAAAAATGCCATAATTGAGTGAATGACACTTAATGACAGTTGTCATAAACATGCATAAAACCTCCTTTATATTATGAAGGTGTCATATCAGTCTTATGCACACCCCTTTAAGTAAAGTGTTACCAAACAGGTAAAGACCACAAACTTTTGAACAGCATAGTGTGTGGTCCTAGTAAACTTTACGTTTTGAGGACAAAATGTCACCACAAAGATGACAATTTCCAAATTACTTGTCCTTGTTCGACATCTTTTGGTCGCCGTGAGGAAAACAGTTTATAAATAATTCTATATGATCCTTTTTAAAAATATAAAAATGCAGAACGTTTTCTGTGATGGGTACTTAGGTTTAGGGTTAGAACATTCTTTATATGGAATGTCCCCATAAAACATGAAAACATTAGAAATATATTTCCATAAAATGGAAATTAAGACCATGAAGACCTCCTCAGTGTGGTGAGGTCAGTCATGTCCTCCCCTTTAACATAAAACATCTTGGTAACACTTTATTTTACAGTGTCTTTGTTATATTTTACATGTACTTACCATACTGTAGTAATAACAGTAAATTTTGCATAAGTACATGCAACTAACCTTCAACCAAATCCTAAACCTACCCTAACCCTATAGTAAATACATGTAGTTAATTATTATTACTCAGTACTTAAATATATAAATACACAGTAACAATTACACCTTAAAATACAGTGTAACCAACATCTTTTATCCGTTTGATTACTATGGACACTTCATTGAGCCTGGTTTCAGCTAGTTTCGCAATAACTTAGTTTCCAGGCTGACACAAATGCTCTATACCAAATGTTTCTTGCATCTTGAGTCATGCAGTTAATTAGTGTGCCTCAGTTTCTCTTCAACAAATCCTTTAATGAATACATAAGAGAGGAAAATGGTACTCGGGCCACCACTGTTCAGTGGCTTACTGAAGAATATGACTGCAGACTTCAATTAGAGCTTAATTAGGACTCATTCACCTTTACGATGACCGCAAGATCTGACTTTCTCACAGTGTGTTGTCAGAGTCACAGTCTATTTCAGAGGCTGGTGACCCTGTGGAATGGACTAGCAGAGAAATGTCACTTCATTATGTCATGGCAATGCTTCTGAACTTGCCATGAAGAGCAAGGCTGGGATCCAAGAACCAGTTCTGGATATTACAATATTTTACTGGAACCTAATGATTTTTTTATAATGTTTGGCTCTGTTCACAGCTCTTTAACACCTACATTCTTCCACATGCTCAGCACTGTAAATAACAATCCTGTAAAAGAACGGTAAACTACTGGCAGCTCTGGTTGCCAGCATCATACCATAAAAATACGGTGTGTTACTGTTTTTGAAATTAACAGCTAAATACCGTACTGTCAGTTACACTATAAAACTTTAATTTACCAGATCTATGCTCTAGCACAAAAACAGTAACACACCGTATAGTTACGGTATGATGCTGGCAACCACAGCTGCCAGTAGTTTACCGTTTTTTTTTGTTTTTTTTTGTCCTACTATGGAAGTAAATGGGGGCCATCAACTGTCTGGTTACCGACATTCTTCAAAATATGTTTGTGTTCAGCAGAAGGAAGAAATTCATCCAGGTTTGAAACAACTTGAGAGAGAGTAAATGATGACAGAATTTGAATCAATCAATGAGCTGAATCAATCAAACATTCTTACAAATCTGTCAACAACAACAAAAATTAATCTGTCAAGTTAACAAACTTAACTTGACTAAATTAGTGTTTCTCGACTTACTGAACTGCAAGTCATTACATTTTATCATGTCCAATTGGAATCAGAACTAGAATAGTTAACTTCCTCACATGTCGAATCACTAATAAAAAAAGAGACTAATCTACTTCCTGTGAGAATGAACACATATCCAAACATGAAAACATTGCACAATGAAATTAAAGCTGCTCACATCTGTAACCGAGATTGAAAATGTGTTCAGTTTCTTCACGAAAATACTGCAATTATCCATTGTGCCATTAACAAATGACACTGAAAATAAGTGTCACAGTTACTGAATGTGCATTCAGCCATGACGGAGCTAATTATACAGCTGGAAATCTCTCTCAGCTTTGTTCACTTTCATCACTTTATCAAAGCGCAACACTCACCAAAAGCTGCGTAGAACTCCTCTCTAGTTAGGTGTTCGTCACCGGTGACGTCGTTAAATTTGAACAGGTCGAACAGGGTGCACTCTGATACCGTCCTGCTCAGACCTTCCTGCTTGATGACCTGCATGACAACAAGATTAAAGATATTAAATCCAGAGCAGGACCTACTGTATGACACTTTAAGATGATTACTTGCCAGAGCAGATGTGTTTTGTGCAGTGAATGTAGCTCAAGGAAATACTAAAAAGGATGTTTAAATTTAAGGACATGTTTGTTTACAACAATTTCGGTGCCGTCTTGGGCCTCCGCATGACGTCTGATGTAAAATCTCCATCCTGGAGCAAAACTTCTCTAGTGTACCATTCTGAATAATTAAAGTTGTGATTCCTATCTGCATCAGACATTGTGCATCCTGTCGGCTGGCAAACATCCAGAAGTGAGCAAGATTTTATAACAGCCTTATGCTGGAAAACATGAGGGATTACTGTAAAATATTCTTTCATACATTCATTCATGCCAGAAATATCTGATGGTAATTACAGTTAGAGAAAGAAAGCTGGAGGGATTGGTTATAATAAATGTTAGGGTTAAGATTTACTGTTAAGATTTGGAAAATTCCTTGAGCGTATGTGGTATGAACAATCATATGTAACTTAGTGACTGGTGGTCAACGGATTCAAAACTTACTGAAAGTGCTATAACTACACATAATATATATATACCATCTCCTGAAGCCACACTGACTTATTACTAAAACCAGATCTGTGTTCAGATTCAATCCTGTTCTTTTATTATCTATAGCAAACTCAAATCTTATAGAGATTTGATACCAGGACAGAAACTGACTCAAAACCTTTACTTTCACCTCTTTTGCTTTGCAGGCTACAGGCGATGTCAACAAAGTTTTCCATAATGAACAACTCTCTACATCCGATCCACCGTGCTGAATGAAATCCCAGAACAGCTTTAGGCATGTGATTATTCAATCACTTTTTAAATATAAACACTTCTAGATGCACAAAAATGCAGGATAAAGTTAGTTTGGGAGAAAAGACTTTCAGCATAATTTGTTTGATATTTTGCATTGGATGTAGTGATGCACATATTTTTAAAGTGTCTTAAGCATCCAAATATGTTGCATTGAGTGGTTTCCAGAATGTCACTGTGTATTATTAAATATATTGACAATAATAAATATATGATATATCAATAACAATAATCATTCATTAAGCCAGAAAGGGTTCATGGACTGTCCCTTTACTTTTGGCATAAAGATCATTCCAGGTGTACCAGAAGACCTACAGAGTTGAGCAGAATACTGATGGTGTTTAATTGCTCAATTAGAGCAGAATGGTGTGATTTCGCTCCAAGCCATTTCACTGTATGTGCCTATTCCTCCAACACCTTTCCAACCTTGCGGTAGCTTCATGTCAAAAGGCCAAGCTTTTGTATTCAGGGCCGGTACGAATTTTTACTTTTTACATTGTCTTCGATCTGCCATGCATGAAAAGAGATCTATTCTTCTTCCACTGAGAATGAAGAAATATGCAAATGACATGAAAATATTGCACAATGAAATTGAAATGGCTCACGCATGTAACCGAGAGTGAAAGTGCGTTCAGAGTTTTCTCTCTGGAGAAATATGAATAAATTCATATTTTGCTCATTTTGCTATGCACAGTATGGACAGGTGCAATCTTTCTGCCGCAGGACAAGATAAAGCCCAACTGACCTGGGATCAGTTTATGAACGAGTTATTAAAATAAGAGACAAGCTCGCCAGCTCATTTGCCATTTCGAATTAATGGAATAGAACGTGGGGAAAAGTGATCCCCAGTTATTGCTTATAACATATCAGATTCAAACATTAGATATTGTATTATTGTAAAAAAATAAAATAAAATAACACGCATTCGCATGAAGGCTTATATTGGACTTCATAATTTCTTTTCCCTCTTTTTTTAAAACTTAAAACTTAAAATAGTTTTTTTAACCGAAAACACACTTGCAGCGCAGCCAATGCACAGCACTTTGATGGACATACGGCTATCGTTCTACAGCTGCGCGCTTGCCCTTTGGAAAGAAGTGCCCTTAGGACCATATAAGGAAATTCCAGCGCATCTGACGTCATACGCGCCCGTACTCTAAAAAAAAAAAAACTTTACGAAACTTGTGACAACCAGGAAGGAGTATTTTGAGAACATAAATACTCAATCAAACGAACAACTTATTTTTTGAAACGTTGTCCATGTTTAACATGGGAATCCAACTCTTTAACAGTCTAAAAAACTCACTATGCATGAAATAGCATTTCATTCAACATGTTGATTTCATTTGTCAACAGATGTTTTCATTTGCAAGGCAAGATTTAAACGACAAAGGTTTAAAAAGATAAATGACAGCTTACTCAACATGCCCAAAACACTCTGACTCTGGCCCCAATCCATCCTTATTGTTAAACCCAGCAACATCTCTATTTTTCTCTTTTATCAGAAAACTGACCTCTTCTGTTGGTTTGAAAATGGCCAGTAAGATGACAGATACACGTTAAGGGGGTGTCAAAACACCCCACTTAATTACGTCAATTAAACGGGTGAAAGAAAAGAGACTGATTTTGGTCTGCTCTTGTTCGGTCTTACCTGTGAGAGCTCACTGCTGTCAACTCTTCCGCTCCCATCTGCGTCGAAGCGCTTGAACATCATGTCCACCAGATGCTTCCTACTTGCCATATCCTTCTCGTGGCTGCCATGGTTACCAGAGGTCAAGTACCTCTGAGCGTGTAAGTCCAACATCTTGGTCTTCAATTTTTTATAATCTCCCAGACGACAGTTATCATCTGTGAAGAGTGGGAGAGAAATGGTGGTCAGATCAGTGAGGGATATGGAGATGGATTCAAGGTTCTGCAGCATTACTAATTCATCAATACTGAGCAATATGAAGTCCTTTTTTACAGTACAAATGGTCATGTGAGGAATTCTAACACGTCTGTCATGTCAATAAATTATGAGAATTTAAAGATTTTGTGGATCTCACAAGAAGAATCAGACGAACTTGAAGATTTTCAAATGTATTCACATGTATTTGGTAGGCTCTTTCATCAAATGTACATTTTTAGTGTATTCGAAGCAAATTCTGCATTCCCTGGGAATCAAACCCTCATCCTTGGTGTTTTTAGCACACTTTACTACAAGATACAGGAATAAAAAATGTTTTTATGCATCATATTTGATACATTACACTCCCAGAGGATATTATTTTTAATGAATGATTCAATGAAGACTACCAACTGGTGTAACTTGCAGAAAGAGTCAATGAACAACCCCATCACTAACATACAGGCTGGAACGGTTGTACTGAACTGTTGTTGATTTTTTTTTTTTTTTAACTAAACATTCAAATTATCTTTTATTTTACAAGAATTTCCTAATTACAAGAACAGAATGCATATGGCAATGCTAACGGGCTGCAGAAGAATCGCTCGGTGTTACGCAAACACAGCAGAGGAGGACAGACTCTGCGTATTATTCCAGCAATCATGTCAGAGAAAGCACCGGAAAGGTGGCATAGGGACTTAAAACAGTTGCTGGAAACAATGGCTGGGAAGTCTTGTCAAAAGCATTTGACAATGTTTGAGATGTTTTTGTCGTTATATGTAGCTCAGGTGCTGAAGTGTGGCTTCTTGTGAGAATAGCAATGTTGTTTCTGGAGCATAAGAGATGGATAATAAAAGGCAGAAACAGAAATGAAAGCAAAAGAGGTTGAGGAAAAGCAGCTGGTTTTAAAGACTGTCAAACTAGTTTCACTGACAGATGTCAAGTCATCCACAGCTCGTCTCCACACGACTGCACCACTAACTGCAATATAATGAGATATAAGAATATACGTGTCTGAGCCTGCTGTTGTGTGCATGCGTGCTGACCTCTACTATGACAAGCCACCATGGCAGAAAAGCTCCCTTCCCTAGAAATGGCAGAATGAATAAAAGATAAATGTCTGTCTACTGACTACCTTGCCCAGAGGAGATGAAGGTCAGTGTCGTCAAACCTACTGTATGTGTGTGTGTGCACGTTGGCACACACGGCACATTAGCATTCCCATATTTTGGCTTGTGGCAAATGAGGAACTGCATGTCTTCTATCATATTCCAGAATTGCAGATGTGTGACTGGGGGAATATTTATACTTCATCATCCACCTGTGATTTGACAACCGTAGACTTCCAGCAACGTTGTTATACCGTGCAGAAGGCAAAACTCTGAAATGTGTGGAAAACCTGAGGTTTCCAGAATCAGAGCTACATGAATGAGCAGCATTTCCACTGGAGCCCATCCACCTATCCCCATTTTTAGTGCGGACTGTCACTGAAACTGTGAGAAACTGTGTTTGTAAAACAAGAAAAGAAATGCACCAAAGATGAATTTGCAGTACATATATTATAGTGACACATAAAAACACAAACCCACAGTATTTTTTGGTACCAAAAGTACCATTGCCATGACATTCAACATGTTTCCTGTCCTCTGTCCATGAGATTGTGCATCTTTTCACGGCATAAGCAATTTGAAATGCTCGTGGACACAAAAATTGGGTTAAAAACATAATAACCTAGATAAATAATCTGTTCTGCATTGGATGCTTGATGGCTTCATATTTTGAAAAGAACACCGAAGCGCGAGCCAGCACATAAGGTATGTAGGGTGTTATACACAAGGTGGATGAACATCTACAGAAATAGAATTGCTTATAGCAAGAACAAAAATCAGTTTCCAACAGAGGAGCACATTTACAAAGTTCTTTAATGACCTTCCTGTCTTTATTTGTTCAACCTTCATCCCTCAGAGAGTTTCTTATGGATGAAGCCTATTAAATATATATCCGTCCTCCACTGTACGATACAACCGAGGCCTCTAGTACTACAGAAGGTCACTGATAATGGACCCATCATGCAACTGTTTCTCATCTCAGTAAATACACGTGAGTGCCAGGTCTGTTGGTAATAGCACTCCATCCATGTCTAACAAGAACCCAGATTCATCCTCTTGTGTGTTCCTGAATAAATGATATAGTATGGTGCTATTGCTCACATATGGATGTGGAGTTGATGGTTGTGACCCGTGGCCTTGCAGCAATAAGCATGCTATGGCTGGTTGCCCATTCTGATGGGAATTTTGGGTCATGCAAAAGTGAGGAGCTGCGATAAACACGTTTGTGATGGGCAATTCAAGACACGTAGACAAACAAAAGTGTTAGGCTGTGGCAAGCTTCTGTTAATAATAATTGGGGAAATGACGCCACAATAAGCATTCACCTAAATATAGTAATGAACAATGATAGTTCAATCCTTAGACCATGAATCTTTCATTTAAAAGTCCAATTTTTACGAATTTTAAATTTTCTCGCCCTCATGTCATTGCAAATTCGAAAACCCCTCTCCTCCTCACCCCCAAATAAATGTTTTTTTTAGCAAAAAATCAAAATTTTATAATGACTTTAAAACAAGGCTTTGCCTAGCCTATATTCAAAGTTCGTCCTGACATTTTTTGTTATAATGGCAGTCTTTGAAGTTAACTTTAATTTTATGTCTTTATAAATAATATCCTGTCTGCTACCTCAATTCAAATTCAGAAAATAAATTGGAACATAAAAGCATTCTCAATACAGTTTAATGTGACATCAGCATACAACCCTGCACCTCACAGCTTGCCTATGTGCCAGAGCCTGTTTAGAATATCCATTTTTTTGACAAGCATTACACGAATGCAGCATTAAGCGCAAAGCCATTTAGTACAAGCCATAAAAGCACTCAGGTGGCCTGCGTGGTTCACTTTGAAGCAAAACTTGACATGTCCAGGCTGCCCAGAGGAATGACACAGGGAGAGCAGGTTTGATCTTTCCCCGTTGTAAATTGGTTTAGACAGCCACCTGCATTCATATCTGCATGTTTGATCCACTTCATGTGATGGGACCCTGAGTCACTTTGAAAACCACACTGGTAGAGCTAGATCAGATGAAATCCAGTCCTGTCAGAAGTTTTAATATGGTGGCATTAATAAAAACAGCTTGAGGGCTTGTTAACGTTAACAAGCCAGTTTTATCATTTAGATAATTCAAGACATAAAAAAATAAAATGGGTATAAAATAAGTATTGGGGGGAATATTACAGATAAAATATCATTACTCAGCAGCACCTTTAATGTTTTTTTTCTTTTTCTTGGCCTTCTACATTGTTTCATCATTTACGCACCTTCAGATCTTCAGCACTGCTCCAGGGGACACATGCACTGTCCTGCAAAGTTTAGCTCCAGCCCTAATCAAGGTGACTAGAAAATCAAAGCATTCAACCAGTAGTCTTTCTTGGTTTCATCAACTTATCTGTCACACTAATATTTAGTTTGCTAGCACCAGTGAAATTTTTGCTCGGTTGTATTGTTGCCATATCATCCCAAGTGTTTGATAGGGGTGTAAATCGGACAGTTAATCACGATACGATTTTATATCGATTCTCTCAGCCAGCGATACGATATTTGCGACACCTCAAAAAATTCTACGATACGATTACGATTAGTTTTTTAGGGCTATATCGATCGATTAAACAATATTTAGTTATAATGTGCCAATAATTACTATTTTTTTTCCTTTTACGAGCCGAAGAAAATATCACAGGTTCATCAAGTTTGCTGAAATGTCAATCTTGTTAGGTGTCTATTTCAGCAGAGAAAAGTTACATGAGGATGTGTCAAAATAAAGGTACCCTATATCGATATTTTATGTGTGGTATCGATGCGTCGTATCGTTTGACGTTTGATCGATGCATCGATCCATGTCGATGTATTGTTACACCCCTAGTGATCGGTGCAACAGCAGTAGATCAGGGTCTCTGTGTGCTGACTTGCCTCTCTGTGTTGTCAAAGTACATGGCTCTACATGCTCTATATATCAAATACACAGCCGCCTCGCTCTTCAGTCTGAGGTCACTGATTCCAGTCTTTAAGGGCACAGGGCCAGTGCCATTGCTGTCAAGTTCTGGCGATGCAGAAATGGACGTGTGAACGCAGTGGGCTGTAAAGTCTGCTCTCTCTCTCTCTCTCGCCTGACCACCTAACATCTCGCTGGAGAATTTCACAGCGAGCGCATTCAATAACAATCTACCTGCTGCTGGATAGCCATATGAGTTGTTGCAATGACAAATTTACAACTCTCTGGCAGGCTATTATTCAGGCTCTCCCAGTGTGATGTGCGAGGGAAAACTTTGCATTTGCCTTAGTGTTTTGTCCTTTTTCTTCTTTCATTTCATTATTTTTGTCTCTCTCTCTGCGTCTCAGTAGAGTTGCGTTATTCTACATGAAGTAAGTCATCTTCTCCAGCTGTCTACCTCCCGTTTCACCTCTAATTTGATTTCCACACTCTCTTTTCTCCTGTCACAGGTTCTTTCTCTTCTTCTTTTTTACCCCTGTCCCTTTATCTCTGATTTCTCACTTTGGCAGGCACTGGTACAGCTTTGAGGAGCTCATTACTTGCCGGTAGACGCGGATGTGGCTTCTCTTCAGGCTGGAGGTGACAGTGACATTAAAACAGCTCAGGGTCTTATTATCACTCTTCTAAAACCGCACAGAACAATCTCTCTCTCCTCCCTCTGTCTTGAGCTGTGTAAGGACTATAACAATTTGAAACATTTAATTATTTTTTGAATTTGGAATGTTCTGAATGTCAAGTAGGCTGCACACATTGGTAAAAGTAAATTGATTATTTTGACAAATATAGTAACTGAAATAAAAAAGTGGATAAGACACATGCCTTTGGTGTGAGAGACCCGGGTTCGAATCCACTGTGAGACACC